CCCCCACCCCTTACCTGCTGACACAGGTCTTGGGAGGACGAGATCATGTGGTCTTTTGCTGAATGTCCTTCCTACTCAGCCTGGACGGACATCCTGGCCAGACAGGGTCCATGTTCTCATGGCCATAGCCTGCTGTGTCCTCTGTGACTCCTTTTCCCTGTTTCTGAAGTGTCCTGGCCTCATGGATACTTGCCAGGAGGACTCAGATAGAAAAAGAAGTGATGCCTCATTGTGGATTCTCTGTGGGGATTGGCAAGGCCCCGAGTGAGTATCGAAGGCAATGGGAGCTGGTACGGGCCCCGCCACCTTCAAGGGAGATGCCTCTACCTCAAGTGACTTTTCTGTGAATTGGGTGATGTTGACTGTGCTCCTCTGTCCACATCCGTGGAAATATTTTTAGGTTGGCCGAACTGGATGTATGGATTTGAAGTGCTTCACCTCCTCATTAACTGTGGACTGACTTTATTAATGGAGGACTGTGACGGTAGCATCGACCAGAGAGACGATAGGCAGAAGTTCAACTCCTGCCTATACTCATAGGATGTGCGACTTCACGTGAACTGATAGAGTTCGTGGGGCTCAGGTCTCTGAGTGTAACATGGAGACAATGTTGGTGTTGACCTCAGGGGCTGTGGCCCCTCACCCTAGGGTTCCTTTACAAACATATTTTTTAAATCTTTTGACTATTCTTGGTGGAGTGCATAAAACTCTTGTATTGATCTATAAATTGAGACTCAGAGAAATGAAGCGAGGTCCTCAAGGCCACACAGAAGGCACGTGTTTTTTCATTTTAGTGTTAGACCGCAGAAGTCTGGCTCCTGAGCTGGGGACTTTTAGTCATTTTGTCATGGCCTATAAAGCCCCTCAGCATAAGGCAGACATATAGTGGGGACTGGGAAGATTTAGGTGCTGGTGTTGGTATTATTGTTATTATTTTTTCCCATTCCTCTGATATCTCAGAGCACTTATTTTCTTTGCCTCACAGTCCACTCACAATGGTCCTAACTTTGTTTCAGTGTCCAGTGGCTTCCTGCATGGGAGGCATCTCTCTCCTCTACACTCTGATAATCCTTCCAAGGTAGGATCTGCTTCCCACTTCAGCCCGGCACAGATCTGGGCCCTCTGGGGCTACTGGTGATTTGGCCCTTGGTTCTCCACGAATCTTTTGCAGTGCCGGAGTGACAGGTTCTAATCCTATTCCGCAGTCCTAAGGCAAACACTGCTACCTCTGTTTGACTTTGCAGGTGTCTGTGACCTTTGAGGATGTGGCTGTGACATTTACCCAGGAGGAGTGGGGGCAGCTGGACTTGACCCAGAGGATCTTGTACCAGGAGGTGATGCTGGAGACCTGTGGGCTTCTGGTCTCTCTGGGTAAGACCTGTCTTCTCCCCATGTGAGACACCTGAAGCCTCCTTCATTCCACCCTCTGGCTTCAGGCCTGGCTGGTTGAAAAGGCGTTAGGAGCCCACTCTCCTGCTCTCTATAGCTTCATTCATTTTCTGCACTCATCTCTTTCTTACTTACTTTCTTGTATTTTAGTTAGAGAGGTATAGGGAAGAAACATAGTTTGCTTTTGGTCACAGCCAAAGGTGAACAATGTACTGGAAGGACATGGGGGTTTTTCGCAGAACCCAAAGGCAGGATTTTCAGCGGAGCCCCTTGAAGGACTGAGGTAGTACTTGGGAGGAAGCCTAGTTGTGCCCTGACCATTCTATATGCGGTGATTCATGGGAGAAGGTCAAAATATTATATAAACATTCAGAGGAATGTGGAAGAAGTCGATTCTAATCTTCATGGATGCCTTTGAGGGGTTCAAGACTTCCATGGAGAAGGTAACTGCAGATGTGGTAGAAACAGCAAGAGAACTAGAGTTAAAAGTGGAGCCCGAAGATGTGAAACTTGAATGGATAAGAAGTTGCTTCTGATGGTTGAGCAAAAAAAGTGGTTTTCTGAGATGCATTCTATCCCTGGCGAAGATACTATGAATGTTTTTGAAAAGACAAAGAAGGATTTAAACTATTACATAAATTTAATTGATAAAGTAGCAGCAAAGTTTGAGAGGGTAACTCCAATTTTGAAGAAGTTTCACTGTGGTAAAATGCCATCAAACAGCATCGCATGCTACAGAGAAAGGAAAGTGTGAATTGATGCCACAGACTTTACTGTTGTCTTATTTTAAGAAATTGCCGGAGCCATCCCAGCCTTCAACAGCCCCCATCCTGATCAGTCAGTAGCCGTCAACACTGAAGCAAGACCCTACACCAGCAAAAAGACTATAACTCACTGAAGGCTCGGATGATCATTGTCATTTCTCAGCAATAAAGTAATGTTTTTCTTTCTTGAGACAGGGTCTTACTCTGTTGCGCACGCTGGGGTCCAGTGGCGCAATCATAGCTCACTGCTAAAACTCCTGGGCTCAACCCAGGAGTTCAAGGTTGCTGTGAACTAGGCTGATGCCTCGGCACTCTAGCCCGGGCAACAGAGTGAGACTCTGTCTCAAAAAAAAAAAAAAAAAGAAAAGAAGAAAAACTGGGCTCAAGCAATTCTTCCCCTCCAGACTCTCCAATAGCTAGAACTACGGGTGTGAGCCACCGTGCCCACGATAAAGTTTTTTTTAATTAAGGTATGTGCATTTTTTTTTAGACACAATGCTATTGCACACTTAACAGACTACAGTATAGTATAAATAGAACTTTTATGTGTACTGGTAAAACAGACAATTTGCGTTTCTCACTTTACTGTATGATATTTGCTTCATTCCAGTGGTCTGGAACTGAACTGCAGTATCTGTGAGGCCTGCCTGTGTCTATTTCACAGGGCTATTGTGAGGTAAGCGGCTTAGAACAATGCCTGGTGATACGTGGCTGTGTGCAGGTTGGCAGCTGTGACCGCTGCTGCTGTTACCGATGTCATCATCATGGTCACGATCATTGTCATCACGCTTAGACTCAGCATTTTCTGGGACGACATTGTGTAGCTTTTTGGTTAAATTGGCCAGACGCTAGTGATGACTCAAGTTTCTGTCTTTGCTTGGCCATTCACCATTTCCCTGGTTTTGGCGATATACTTTATCTGCCTGAGCCTCAGTTTCTTCCTCTATGAAACAGCAGTGATTGCAGTACGTATTTCATGCGGATGCTGTGAGGAAGTCCAAAAGTAGCATTTTATGAGCAAGGCCCACAGGAATAGCAATATAACACTTTGCTTAGGATATAAAAAAGATTTACATACCTGGGTGGAGTGGCTCATGCCTATAATCCCAGCACTTTGGGAGGCCAAGAGGAGAGTCATTTGAGACCATCCTGGGCAATATAATGAGACCCTGTCTCTACAAAAAATTTAAAAAATTAGCCGAATGTGGTGGCACCCTCCTGTAGTCCTAGCTGCTGTGGAGGTTGAGGCAGGAGGAGTCCTTGAGCCCAGGAGTTTGAGGCTAGAGAGCTATGATTGTACTTCTGTACTCCAGCCTGGATGACAGTAAGTCCCCGTCACTTAAAAAAAAAAGGGGGGGACGTAAATCAGTGAAGACACCTCTTCTTTCCAAATAAAAGATATTTTAAAATACCATTTTTTTTCTAAATAATGCTTAACTTTTTCACTTTTTACAAAATGCAGTGCATTTAAATTGCTTGGCACAGGCCCAAGGATGTGGTTGCACTGCAGAAATACAGCCATGGATTGCTTGGCAACGGGGATGTGTTCTGAGAAATGCTTCGTTAGGCAGTTTCACCGCTGTGTGAGCATCATGGAGTGTGCTGACGTAACACTAGATGGCATAGCCTGCTGCACACCTAGGACATATGGTGTAGCCTATTGCTCCTGGGCTACAAAACTGGACAGCACGTTATTGTACTCAATACTCCAGGCAACTGTCACGCAAAGGTAAGTATTTGTGTATCTAAACCTAGAAACGCCAAAACGTTATGTGGCACGTGACTGTGTTAGTTTTTGACTTACCCTTAAGGGTGAAAATTCTGTGGCCAGTGACAGATTGATTAAGCACCTGGATTCCGGAGCCACACCAACAGTGTCTTCTCAGGAAGTGACAGTCGAACTGAGATTCAAAGCTTGACTGGAAGGATGAAGGGAGAGAAGCAAGCAGCGTTCCAGGTGGAAGGGCCAGCATGTGCAAAGGCCTTGAGGTGGTGGGACACGCGATCCTGACAACGCTGAAAGAAAGATGGAGTCACCTTGTGTACTGCACTGTCATGGAGCCTGTTGCCAGGCACGAAGCGGAAGTGAGTGAACATTTGCTTTGAGATGATTGATGGTTCAGGATCCCACAGGCGAGGCTTCCGTGGGTCCTGGTGCCTGTGCCACCAACTTCTCTGTGGAGTCCTCACATCTTTTACCGTTCGTGTGTGTTCAGCTGCAATGTGACAGGTGACAGACCAGCTGAAATGTCTTCACCCTGAAGGAAATATATTATCTCCCGTAATAAGAAGCTCATTTGTGAGTCCGGCTCCCGGGTCGGTGGTGCCAACCAGCTGTCTGTTTCTTCGCTTCCCTGGTTCAGGTCTCCAGGCAGGTTCCCTCACTGGAGTCCCAGGATGCTGCATGACAACAGAAGTGGCAGAAACCCTCATTCAGCCCGCCCTGGAATAAAGGCTTTATCTCTCCTCAGAGTGGCTGGTTTACGTCACCCGTCAGCCTCAGTCTCCTGGTGATCAGGGATGCCATTTGCAAGATGAAGCAGACCAAGGCTTTTCCACCTGCCACGGGGGCTGTAGTCACCTGGGGAATGTTTAAAATCTACTGACGTCCAGGCCTCACACTCAGATGTTGTTCCAGGTGGTCTACAGTTGCAACGATGCGTTCCCAGGTGTTGCTGATTCGCAGGGAGGCGAAGGCCCTGTGACTTGTATTGGTTATCACATCCCTTCAGGAAAGCTGTCTGAACAGTGTTGAGATTCTGTAAGGAGTTCAAAGGGAATGGATGCTGTCTACACAGGGAGCACTACTATCGACTGTCTTTGGGGCCCAGTGATGGCTTTTTCACAGTTGGTTTCCAGGTCATAGTTGAGGCTTTTGTTTACTTGGATGAGAACAGCTTCATTTCAGGGTCTTCCCCATCCTGAAGTGCCAGGCTAGACCGAGAGGTTTCTTTCTTCAACCAAACACCATTTGTCCTCTTTTGTTCTCCATGCACAGGTTGTTCTTTGTCTAAATCAGAGCCGATCGACGAGCTGGAGCACGGCCAGGACTTATGGGTGGTGGAGGAAGATCTCTCCCAAAACTCCTGTCCAGGTAGGAGCCAGCAGCGGGGAAGGTTGGGGTGATGACAGGTGGAAAGGTGAACACTGCCTCTAAGTTTTGTGGGAACCTCCTTGTTGCGGCCTCTCTGGGGGTTTGGGATCCACGGAGCCATTTAAACTGCGGTCTCTGTGCCCCCCACCCTGCTCAGCCCCCGCACACTCCTCACTGCTCGTGGGGAGGTGTGGAGGACGTGGCGTAAGTCCAGGCTCTTGGCCCCACTGCTTGGGCTTCAAAACTAGCTTTGACGTGAAACAGCCAGGTGACCCTGGGGAAGCCGCGTGATCTTGTGTCTTTCCATGTAAGTTTGGCTACATTAAATCTAGCTGCTCTATCAGGTGTACGCCGAGATTTTGGTGGCTCACGATATGAAAATTATTTTTCCCACACTAGGGGCCTGTGGGTCATTGAGGAGCTCTGGACCACACAGTTATTCACAGAGCTCGGTGCCTTCTGTCATCAGCATGAGGTGTTAAGGCTTCCCTGGCATCCTCCAGCTGGTAGCAGGGACAAGAGGGAAGGGAAGGTGATACACCCACGTCTCTGTGCCTCTGCTCTGCTCTGTCTCCTGCATCAGCTCCCCCAGCCTCTCAGACCTGTTCCCAACATTTGCCACTCCCCTAGTCACTGATGTCTCAGCATATTTTTACGTGGAAAATAGAGTCTGTGTTCTTGCGCTGCCTGATCCTCAGCCCTTACACATTCATCTACATCTCCCCTATGTGTTAGCCTCCATTATCACCTCCCTAGAGGAGGCCTTGCCCTGGACCTCGGCCAGTTCCTGCCCCAGAATCTAGATCATACCTTTTCAGGGAACTTGTTTCTTTACTTCTTTTCTGCTTCTCTAACTTTATTCTCTACTCAGCATAAAAACATGCTCAGTTTCCTTGCATTAGGGGAAAGCAAAACAAATAAATTCCCCTCTGATGGCTTCACATTGGTGTTTATTCTGCTTTCCCTGCGCAACCGGTCTTCTCGGTGAAATTGTCTCATACTTGTAAGATGTATACACTTGTGTTCAGTATCGTCCATTTGCTTGTATAGTCTTTTCCTTTTTGAATGAGATATAACTCATGTTGTGCAAAAATCTTAAGAAGTCTGCTTGATGAATTTTTGTTTATGTATAAACGCGAGTAACCACCACCTACATCAACACACAGTCTGCACGCAGCACCTCATCAGGGTCGTGGGCCTCAGTAGCCTCTTCCGTTCTGCCACCCCATATTTAGCCTCTGTGAGCATAGATTAGTTCTGACTGTTCTTGGAGCCCCCAGAATGCTGTCTGTCCTTTCTGTCTTCTTTTGATCATCATGTCTTATGAGATTCATTTCACATGGTTGTATACAGTTACAGTTGTAACTACAGTCGATACTACAGTACGTTGTAGTGTCTCATTGTGTGAAAACTGCTACTCATTTCTTTCCTCCCGTGATGGAAATTCCTGTTGATTTTAGTTTTTGGATATTATGAAGAAGGCTGCTGAAATATTGTTCATGTTTTCTGTGGATGTAAACGCTGGTTTCTGTTAGGAATATACTCTACTGTGTGTACAGGTCGGATCACGGAGTAGGTGTGTGTTCAGCTTTAATAGGAACTGCCCAGCCGAGCGGCTGCACCATCCTACGTTCCCACCACTGGCCTGTGAAAGCTTCCGTTGCTCCATATCCTCGTCAGCACTGGGTAACCTCCCCTTAGCTCTTTGAGTACTTGTGATGCTGCTTCTCTGTACCACAGCCGTGGCAGCATTGTCAGGTCCCTGCCTTCCTCCTGATTCTCAAACACAGCAGTGAGTGTCACGACGAACGATGATGGCCTGTCATTCACTGAACCCCCGTGTGCTGCCCAGCATTGTGCCCAGTGCCTCACAGGAACATTCCGATTTAACTCTCAGCACAGCCTGTGAGGTGGGAACTGAGAGTCTCTTAGTTTTTCAGACGAGGAAATCGAGGCTGGGAGCAGCTAAATGAATTTGTTTAACACCAGCTGTCTCGCTGTAGGCAGGATTTGAACTGAGGGGTTCTCTCTCCAGAGACGCACTCTTAACCTTGCAGCAGTATCAACTCGTGGTACAGCACAAACTTTTTGGATTTTACTGTGCTTGAGCGTGTGGCCCTTTTGAATTTTCTCCTTTTTCTCGTGGATTTTCGTTCTCTCCTTACTCTGATCTCCACTTTAATATTGGCTTCACCAGGCATCTCAGAGCCCATCCTTTCTACTCTTAAACACTTTCCAAGGTTAATCTCTGTGTTTTTACATTTTCAATTTACGTACTTCCATGTTAGGTCCCAGATGTATATTCTTTAACTAGCTCATAATAAAATATGATAGCTAATATGCACTGGTTTCTTTCTTGGTGCCCTGCTCCGTGCTGGACATGGATATGCAGTGTTTTTACTTCATCTTCACTGTAGTCCTATAAGGCAGGCTCTATCTTTAGCCCTATTTTTTTGAAGATTAAATATAGGCTTATGGAATTTGAGTGGCTTGCTAAGTGCCACCATAAAAGCTAGTACTGAGTTTTGCTGGAGCTGGGCCTAGGATTTTTCTGGTGTTTTTTTTTTTTTTTTTTTTAGACAGAGTCTTGCTCTTTTGCCCGGGCAACCTCAAACTTGTAGCCTCAAGCAATCCTCCTGCCTTACCCTCCCGAGTAGCTGGGACTACAGATGCACGCCACCACGCCTGGCTAATTTTTTCTATTTTTAGTCACCCAGCTAATTTTTTCTATTTTTAGTAGAGACAGGGTCTCACTCTTGCTCAGGCTGGTCTTGAACTACTAGCCTTGAGTGATCTGCCTGCCTTGGCCTCCCTGAGTGCTAGGATTACAGGCTTGAGCCAACGTGCCCAATCATGTGGTCTTAAACTATAATATACAAGTGGCCTCTAACTCTTTTTAGTGGACCTCAGGTGTTTATATTTTGATTAATCATAAACCTTGGCTTATGACACACTCTGATCATTGATCCATGAATAACCCTGATTAATTAATATGCTAATTTAATTATTTGCTTATTTATTTCATAACAACATCACCCAACTCAAGAATGAAAACATTACTCATACCCTATTGTTAGCAAATTTGAGTTGCTGTGACAAGAATGCCATAACTTGGGTGGCTTGAGCAACAAACATTTATTTCTCATAGTTCTAGAAGCTGAGAAGTCCAGGTTGAAAGTACTGGCACATCCGGTGTCTGGTGAGGGCCTACTGCCTGATTTGCACATGGCCATCTTGTATCCTCAGCGTGGTGGGAAGCAGAGACAGGAAACGAGCTCTGGTGTTTCTTCTTATGAAGGCATTAATCCCATCATGGGGGCTCCACCTTCATGACCTAATTGCCTGCTAATGGCCCCATCACCAAATAGCATCACATCGGACATTAGGGTTTTAACATAGGAACTCTACGGGACACAAGTACTCGGTCTCTAGCACCAGCCTGCCTACCTCTATCTATGGCTTTCTTCCCTTTTCCAGTGACTCCTCCACAGAGACAACTCGTGGTTATGGTTTTATTATCCCATTCCTTTTTTGTGGGAAAGCTTTTACGTGTAAATTCAATTTGTCCAATAGATCTAGGACTATTCAGATGTTCTGTTTCTTTTTATGTCAGTTTTGGTAATTTATGTCTTTCACGGAATTCATCTGTTTCTTTAACTTGTCACTCCAGTATTTATCAGGATAGCCTTATAATGTGTCTGCATACATGCACGCGCGTGTGTGTGTGTGTGTGTGTGTGTGTGCGCGTCTAAACGGTATTGCACACTTTTAATTTTTTAAAACATGGTGTTATTGTTGGTGTAGTTTTCTGGGATGTGCTTCTTTAACTTGTGTTATTTAACTTAAATTCATGATGCCTGATGCTGTAGGCATCACTTGTTCCATTGGTCGACTATATCCAATGTACTCATCTATTTCCTGGGACATTTAATTGTCTACATTTTTTTATCCTCACAAAAGTCCGGCCGTGAACTTTTACGTACATGTATTCCTTGTGGACATGTGCAGAGGTTTCTCATGATAATGTCTCTAAAAGTGGAATTGGATTATAGTTTATACTAATATTCAGCTTTTCAAGGTAATATACATTGTTTCCTAAAGGGGTTATGCCAATGTACACTTCCTCCAGGGAAGTGTGAGAGATCCAGTGATCTATAACCTAACAACTGATAGAAGCCTCTTTTTGCCATTTTTTTAGTCAAATGGGTACATAATCGTGTCTTTATGTTGTTGTGATTTGCATTTTTCTCATTACATGCATTTAAGATGCTCATGTGAGTATCTTATCACATGATTTTTGGCCATTCTGTATTTTCTTCTGAGAAATGTCATTTCAGATAAATTCCTGTTTGTCTATTAACTTATTTGCCTTTCTCTTTTGGATTTGTGGATTCTTTGTACATTTCTAATAAAACTAATACAACACATTTTATTAGTTATACTGTGATAGATTCTTCTAGATTTTAAATTTTGTCTTTCCAGTCTCTTTAAAGTATCTTTTGTTAAATAGAGTTTCTTATTTTACTGGAATTTTTAATCCCTTTCTTTATGAGCACTATTTTCGTGTCTTGATTAGGAAATCTTGCTTTACCACAATATCAATAAGATATTCTTGTTTATCTTATACAAAAGTTTTAAGAGACCAGGAGTTTGAGACAAGCCTGGGCAACATAGTGAGACCCTGTCTCTATAAAAAATAAAGAATTAGCGAGACATGGTGGTGTGTGCTTGTAGTCTCAGCTAATAGGGAAGCTAAGAGAGGAGGAGTTCAAGGCTGCAGTGAGCTGTGGTCGCACCGCTGCACTCCAGCCTGGGCGACAGTGAGACCTATCTGTAAAAGCAAAACAAAACAAAACATAAAAAAACCTCAAAACAACAACAGCAAAAATCTTCGTGCTTGATATTTGAGTCTTTATCAAACTGAGCTTCATTTTGAGTGAGATGGTATGATATAGGAATGCAATTTTATTTATTCCACATGTGAGTACCCAGTTTTTCTG